CACTATTTTTAAAATAACAGTTATATGAGTGTTCTATTATGCAGTACCAACAATTATTGTTATAATTATTTTATCAGTACATGTACAGTTTTCATTTTATAGACCAAAATAGTGATTTTCTACTTAAAGCGTGATTTAAATAGTTTTATGCTAATACTGTCGACACAGCCTTAGGAGGTCAACCCCTCAATTTCTAAAATAAAATCCATAATTACTAAAATATTTGCCTATATTTCTAAAACAAAAGGCTCTCGCAAAAAAAAAGTATAGAAGGACATGACACCCTAGCCTCCTTGGCGTTGACGGCCATGTGTGCTTCGCTTGAATATCCCAACATTTTTTAAGTTATAAACTGCTGCCAAAAAAAAAGCTAAAAAAAAGTGCAAAACCTGGTCAAAGGACTACCAGTTAGTAAAACAAAAAAAAAAGTAGATCTCCAAAAATATTTTGTATTGACCTCCTTAAATACATTTACTTTTAAAATGAAGTAAAAACTATTCAAACCCTATTTTTTACATTGTATTACCATCAAATATCTAATTACATTTTAAGAAATACTTTATTAATTTTCTCCACAAAAAACTCCACATTAATATTATTAATAAATAGCTCAATGTACTCTTTTAATACAAATACTCTATAATACTACTTTTTAAGATGGTGAAAATATGTATTATACGCCTTAAAATCATATTTCATGCTGTAAAATATGATTTTTTGGCATATAATGAATATGTATTTAAAATCATATTTCACCAGCCTAATTTCATATAACCCAAATGATGATCTTTAAAGATGCTTACTGTTTAGATCAATTATGCAGCGCAACAATCTTTCTTTGTACTCTAGCTGATTATTATTTCGCTTATACCTCGACCAAAGTTGATAAAAATCTTGATGAGAAGTTTCGACAGTTTGTTCACTATAGGGCCCCAAGGGTGATCCTTTGTGACAGATGAAATCCGTGATGTGGTAGAAGACGGCGTGATTTTTGGGTGTTACGCTTGCACCAGTTATCATTAGGTAACACTTTTTGAAATTTTCAACTTTTTCAGCGAAATCCGGCTGAAGGATGTATCTAAAGCAAGCCTTAACAACTAAATTGAAGCTTTTGAATGCTTCAATTATGCACACAATATTGGGAACCATGTTTGTCTCAGCAAGTTGCTGCAGCAAATCCACATTTTTAAGAAGCTTCCTGCATTTATTTCTCTCAAACTGGCCCCCGTGATATGGACTCATTTGGCAAGAAAATTGGATTTGACATCACACCAGGTGCAAGGGTGCGTATTTGAAGGAGTTTGAAGACCACAAATTATAAAATCTTCTGAAACCGCAAATCTTCTGAAACCCCAACAACAATTTGTCTTTTGACTCCAGTGTCTTTACCAGTCCTTCGAGTGAGAGTTTGAAGTTGGTGCAGTGAGCTGGTTTCATCCCTTAACGCAGTATCAACAATGCTTTGGCAAAACTTGAGAAAACCTTTGCCACCATCAATTCCAAGCTTAACAAAATAGCCACCAGAAATTTTGCGGGACTGAATAACATGATTCACAAGATTTGATAAATCATTGCAGTGAGCAACAACATAAACTGTACAAGAATCTGTTTTTTCATGCAGCTTTGATTGACCAATTCGGCATATTAGGCAACATCACATCGTGCCTTTTGTTTCAGGTCTCACTTGTATTGACTTAAAATTAAACAAAGAATTAATGCAACTTCGTTCCTTCTTGTTTTCTGCGCAAAGTAATTCTACACAATTCACAGAATCCTTTTGGTACTCGAGTATCACTGATATTGATTTTGGTCTGGTACAGTTGGCATATTCGATCTGATTGAATAGTAGTAAGCTGTCTTAAACATTTCTTTTAGACAAAACAAGCACACAAACTTTCGATTTTCATCATGATTCTTGGCTTGATTTGGCATAGTGGCAATTCACTAAATTTGACTTCACTTAATGAGACTCTGCCTTTTACAAAATTTGACCTAAATTTATATTTGATAAAAATAGACTTAACATAGTAACACATATTATTAAATAAAAACTATTAAAATAATGGAAATATTTACTTGATTTAATTGAGGTAATATTAAATTAAAAAGGAAATAATTCTTGAATAGTTCTTTCCTTACCAGGAAACAATTATTTAAACTGTTTACTTGTAAGGAAATTACATTAGTGATAACTGTCACTCTTATTAAACTAATAATACTTGTCACACGGGTTGTTTTATTTCAAAATAACTCTTGAACCTAATTAGTTATTCCGTTAGAGTAATTTTCTTCTGACTGGCCCTTTAAACTTTGTTTTGGTCAGATATCTTAGTTAACTTATCTAAATTTTTAAAATTAACTATTTTTGTCAATATAAAAAATCTTTGGTTTTATCACAGTTGTTCTGTTTTCATATAAATAAATATTTTTATTTTTTATGTAGGTATACCTAGAAATCCTTCTTGACCATTTTTTTATAATTTTTTTGCATTCTGGCAGT